GAAAAAGACTGATGAACTAACTGAGGAAGAAAGCAAAAATTTGGCTAATCTTCCTGTTTTACAAGAAATGCAAACCTTAGTTCAGGATGTGGAAAAAAAAGAAGACTTTGGTAAAAAAGTTTACGGAACTTGGGATTATGTTTATGCGGGAGGAATTGCCCTGGGAGTATTTTTGGTTAGTGTTTGATTAGTTGGTAAGGTGATGGGAGTGATGAAATTAGAAGAGAAGTAAGTTATGGTATTTTTAGCAGCATTATTACCAACAATAAAAGTAGTGGCTTGACCATTAATTACTTATCTTATTGCGAAACCGGTAATTGAGAAGTGAGGTTCTACTCCGAATAATCGAGCCACTGACTCGGGAATTACTAACCGTGATGTTTATGAGTATTCCCGTAAAAACAAAAAGGAAAAGTTAGATTATCTAAAAGAAAAAAACGAAGAAAAGAACAAAGAGTTAAAAGAAGAAAATGAAAAACTGAAAGAAGAAATAAAAAAAATAGAGAAGCGACTATTAAAAGAAACTGAAGAATGAAAAAACGAAAGTGATCCCACTGAAAAAGCCAAAAAATTAGCCACCATGGAAGCAACTCAAAAAGAATTGAATGATGCCAAAAGTCAACTAAACAAAAATGAAAGCATTATTAAAAAAAACGAAACTGACATCGCTAAATTGTATGATGAATTAAGTAAAGGTGCTGAGCATCTGACAGAAGAACAAATCAAATCAAAAAATAATGCTCCGGACTTAAGTTCCTGACTAAATTGAGGAATAATTGCGGTGGCGGTAATTGTGGCGATACTAGTTGTGAAATTTATTTTTAGTTTATTTAAGAAATTAACTCACGGAATCGAATAAAATTATGGGATTTTGAAACGGTGTAAAACAAGCTTTGAGGGCAGCAACTGCTCCTGTTATTTATGTAATCAGTGGGTTTGATGGTGATACCACCACAAATTACGTTAAAGGTTCCGATCAACCCGGAGACACTAATACTGTCAGTAAAACAAAAAATGCGGAGAATAAATTAAACGATGACAAAGGGCATAAGGAAGTCATTGATCGGTTAGAAAAATTAGAACAGAAAACAGGAATTTCCCAAAAAGATAATATTGATAAAATAGAAGAAGTTAAGAAAAAACGGGAAGAAGAAATTAAAGACTTGATTGAGAAAAGCAAAGGTGCTTCCCCAGAAGAGAGAAAAAAAATAATGGATGAAATAGTGACTAAAACTAAGGAAGAGCAGGAAGCGATTAATAAGATATTACAGGAAAGTAATCGCAAATTAGAGCAAAAAAAATTAAATACCTTAGAAGAAGCACAACAGGAACAAAAGAATGACAATAAAAAACGAGCCGCTGAATTATTTATTGAGGCTAATAAACATCAACAAACTATCCATACCCAAAACCAACTAATTGAAGAGTTGAAAAAAAAGCAGAAAGAAAAAGAACAAGCCGCCAAAGAATTAGTGGAAACACAAAGCCAGGACAAATCATGATATAGTGACATTAATTGAACTAATTGGCAAGTCTGAATGGTGGTTTCGGCAGGTTTACTATTTTTATATCTTCTTTATCGTGCTTTTAAGTGAGTTTACGGAAAATTTTTTGGTAATGAATAAATATTATGGCTTATGAAATAACTCCTCGTGATTTTTGTTCGATTGTGGAAAATCCACGATGCAAAGGCAAAGAAATAGAAAATGGCACCGCCAAGGAAGGCCACCAAAGTTGCGACTGATGCAAAGGTAATTATTTTGTTAGCGGCGAATGTAATTATGGCGGTAAACATAAAATGACCGATGATTTACGACAAATCAATAATAATTTTCGGGCTTTTGATGTTTTAGTAAAACAACAGGTCAAATTAAGCAAAAGTAAAAACGAAACTGAGTTTAATAATTCTAAAAAAACTTTACTTAATTCTTTTAAATCCTTAAAGGATAAATGCGAGAGCGAAGCAGGAACAGGATTTTTTTTACGGTTCCTGTATTGGCTTAGACGGATCACAAACCCATTTTGCCGACCGAATCAAAACCACCTTTAAAAGATTAGCCAAAGAACTAGGTCATTACATGAAACAGGTGGAAAACTCCACTTGACAGCAATTGCATAAATTTCAAGAAAAATTGAAACAATTAGATAAGTTAAGCCAAGAAGCCAATCAATTAACCGAAGATTGAAAAAATGAAAGTGATCCCGTGAAAAAAGCTCAATTGTTCGCTCTTTTATCGCAAAAAAATCAGGAAATTAGAAGATTACGAGAAGAATTAAAGAATGATCCCACTTTTGCTATTTTTAATCAGGAGAAAAGCGATGAATTAGCCAACATTGTTAAGAATATTTTTCATGGCGAAGGTAGCTTTTTCAAGTGAAAGAAAAAAGATAGTGAAAAAACAGAGGAACAAAAATCAGAAAAATACTTGGGTTTTATTCCCAAAGAAGTCGGCAAAAATGCTCTGCTAATTGTGGGTGGATTATTAGGATTAGCATTTATTTATTGAATATTTAAGAAAAAGTTTAAAGAATAGTCATGACTAAATACAATTGATTAGAATTTATCAAGTGACTAAACATTGATGAAACCCGAAAAGAAAACTTGCCTAACTGATCACAAAATACAGAAGCAGAAAATTGAGATAATTTGTCCAGTGAATTTTTTAATGTTGGTAATTGAGAAGAGAGGATGAAATTAACGACACCGCAATTGATTCCTTATCGTAAAGTTTTTAACAAATGAAAAATCGAAAAAGATAAAGCTATCAAAGAGCAAGAAAGAGAAGTTCAAGAAGAGCAAAAACAAAAAAAACAGCAAGAAATTAGAGAAAATTTGTTACTCTTGTTTATGGGAATACTAGGATTATTGCTAATTTGATGAGTTACTAAGAAGAAATTTCAAGAATAAAAGGATATGAACTCAGTCAAATTGAGAAAGGTTTCGCTTATTAATCAGCAAGAAATAAAGGAGAATGAATATAATTTTTGTGTCTCTGATTGTTTAGTTAAGTATTGAATTAAATATCAAGGTCAAGGTAATTTAAAAAGAAGTGTTGAGAATTATATTACAAATAAGTAAAAATTATGCCAAATTTCTTAAAAAAAATAATCGGTTGGCTAATTGCCCTATCCGTAATAATTGGTTTAGCAATACTAGGGATACAGACTTTTTTCGCTTGAAAAAACAATGAAATTAACCAAACTAGATTAGAAATTGAACACAGTGGCGATTTAGAGGAAAGAAAAAGAAAACAAGAAGCAAAAGAAAAATTGGACAAAGAACACAAAGAAGCCCAGATTAAAAATTTACAAGGATGGCAAGCCAGTGATCTAGATTACAATGTTCAAGCACCACCAGAAGAAAGTGATTGTATGGCGGTAGTTGGAGTCGAACCTGATAATTCTTTCCCACGAAAATTAATTTACTCTGATGAAATTACCCAATATTTTCAAGACATTTTAAAAGACCTAGAGGACTTGGTAAAAATTGACCAAGTTAACCCTGATTTAGATGAACGCAATGATAAATATGCTGAACATTTTAAAAGACGTAATATGGTTATGTATGGAGCTCCTGGCACAGGAAAAACGGAGCTAATTGTGCAGTTAGCACGTATGATTAATGAAAAATATCCGACTTGAATTGAGAACGAGTTAGATCCTAGCAACCCTAACTATGAATTGTTACAAGAAATCGAAAGAAAGCCACCTTGTATTATTCAAATTGATGGCACCACTATCAAAGCACCAGGTAAAGGTTCGCCAGTGGGTGATAAAATAGATTCTCATGAAAAGTTGATAAAAATCATTGAAAAGGCCAAGGAGTTTTATTATGGCGACAAGTACAGCAAAAAGCCTTACATTGTATTTATTGAAGAAGCCGATCAAGGATGTAATGTTTTGGATAAAGAAAAAGGTAAATTATTGGAGGATTGGAAAAATTTCTTATCTACTCCCCGTGATAGTGAAGAACTAAAAGGCGGAGCCCAAGATAAGAACAGTTGTATTATTATCGCTACCAACAATTATGATAATATTGACCCCGCCTTATTTCGTCGGGGGCGATTAGGTAAAAAATTGAATTTCAACTGAAATCCGAATGTTTTAAAAAAATATTTGACTATGGAATTTGGTGTCAAATTACCAGAATCGGAGAGTTGACAATGAGACAATAATCCCGAACCTGAAGAACTGTATAAAATGTGTACCAAAATTGGCTATGATATAGCGAAAAATGAATTAGCAAAGAACATGCCAACTATAATCGAGTCCTGAGCTCGTTTAAATGATAAAGAACGAAAAACTAAAGAACAAGAATTAGGAACTAGAAAAAACGAACAAGACAAAGAAGTTTGTAATTGGTTACTTCATTATTTATTTACCTTTCATCAATATAATAACAAGAGACAATTACCAGCTTTTAAGGATGCCAAGAAAATCCAAAGATACAATTATGGGCATCAATATCGAATGGAGGAATTGCAACGGAATTTCATTATTCAACTATGTAATAATATCATGTCATTAAAGGATGCCTTAGCCAAAGGAATTGCCGAAATACGGGGAGAAATGGCGGCTAATTTTCAAGAAATATCTAGTTTGCGGCAGGAATTAACTTTGGCTCGCACGGAATTGAAGAGAGCAGAGCATGATATTAGTGATATCAGAAATCAAATTAACTTAAATACCCAAATGAGCAATACCAACAGCAGTAAATTTAGCCACGAAATATCCGATTTACAAAGCCAAATAAATAGTATCATCAATCGGATAAATAATCTCGGAAGTAGTAGCAGCGGAAGTGAAAATCAGGCGACTCAAAAATATAGTAATTTAAGTCAAACAATTAGTCAATTTACCAAGCGATTAAATGACTATATCAAAGGAGGAGGCAGTGATATAGACAAAATTAGGGATATTATTAACAACTTTATTGATAATGTTAATGACACTTAATTCTCGAACAAAGAAAGCCAAGAAAATTTTTTAAAAAAAATGAAGAAAGAAATTTTTAGTTCCGAATATCAGCAAAAAAAAAAACAAGTATTTAATAAATAGTAAACAAAGTGGGGAAGCCTTAGAACTCTTAACTAATTTAGAAAGTAATAGTGTTGACCTTATTTTTTTAGACCCCCAATATGAAAAAGTTAGCAATGTTCTGCACACTAATTATCCTTTATATCCCCAATCTGATTATCAAATTATGCGGATATTAGAGCAAGTAAATCGAGTGCTAAAACTTTCTTCTTTTTGTTTATTATGAGTAAATAAAGGCTTATTAGGCAGTGATAGAATTGCCGCTTGGATGATTAAGGCTCCTGGCTTGAAAATAGTGGATTGTTGCGTCTGATATAAGAAAAATACGCTCGGATTAGGAACTTGACTTCGTTCTAATGCCGAGTTTTGTTTTCTTTTACAGAAGTATCCTACTACCGGTAAAAAGTTTACTAATCGTTCTTTTGGGACTGTTTGGGAAGAGAGTAGTTTGCCAACTGGACAAAGAAAACATCCCCACCAAAAACCGCGGGAATTAATAAAAGCATTAATTATGGCTACCACTAATGAAAAGGACTTAATAATTGACCCTTGTGCTGGTTCTTTTGTGGTTTTAGAGGTTTGTCAGGAGTTAAAGAGGAATTATTTAGGTTGTGATTCAACTTATAAAGAAATGGAAAAATTTTTAGAGAAGAAGTAATTTGTACTCAACAATTTCTTATTAAAAACCCCACTTTATGAAATAAAACGAAATTAATTCTATTAATCCTGTTCTTTAACCTCTCGGAATGCTCTCATAAGATCTTGCCGATCGCTGAACAAAAGCATATTACTGTTTGGGTTAGTATGAGTCTGGAAGACCGCTAATTCTAACTTCTTTCCTTGTTTTTATTCTTCCTCTTTCTTCACCAGCGAACAATTAGTCAAATAACCAATGGTCAAAAAATAAGATTAGCGATAATTACGAAAGCAAGATCGCCAGATTCCAAGCCTCCGTTTTTCTTATTTTTGATTCCATTATCTTCTTGAGAATCAGGCGGAAGAATTTGTAAAAATCCTGCTTCATCATAAACCTTAATCTTTCGGCTTCGACAGTGCTGACAGCGAGCAGGAACAACAATTGATTGATAATTTTTACCACAATCTTGGCAATTAACTTTATAAGCAGAAGAGGAAGGATTATTTTTTTCTTTCTGTAATTCTTTTAAAACTTCCTTATCTTCGTTATCAATGGCTAAGTTATCAATATTCACCGCCTCTCCTTTCATTATCTTTTGACCCGCTCGTAAAGAAACTTTGTCCGCTTCTGGTAGGTTTAGGGAGTCAATATCTACCTCTTGATTTTTTGTTATCTTCTCGATAGTTGCTAAATTAAGAACAAAACGAGGTTTACAGCCTTCACAAATCAATTTATTATTGTCAGGTCAGCGATAGTCAGCAGGTTTGATTTTACATAAAGAACAAATTGACTGATTTGTTGGTTGATGACTAGGTTTTTTGTCATATTCTTGGTTTATTTTGTTAACGATACAATTTTGACAATAATAACCACTTTCTCCCTCCCACGTATAGGCCTTTTCATCTAAACCAACAACCTTGCCGCAGATTCCCCGGCAAGTAAAGGCTTGGTTAATTCTTTGCTGTTGGAGATTATTTAGTTTTTCCTCAGTTTGTTTTTTGGTTTTTTCGTAATTTTCTTTTTGATTCTTATCTTTGCTTATCTTATCGTTAAATTTTTTGTCTTCGTTTTCGTATAATTCTTTTTCT